ATTCTTCTCATACCAAATCCTGTACTGAATCCAAAACACAGTGCTATTCTAGCTACTAAAAAGAAAATTAGCCCAGCTGGAACCAGGACATGGGTACTGGTGTTCTGAGTTTGGCAGTGCTATGTTTAAATGACGTGTTTGATAGACATTTTTGTAAGAAAATTTAGGTTTGTATTACAAGTTTGTCATTGGAGTTACATTCCTATTAGTGCTCAAAGATCTCTCTGTCCATGTGCTCAGCTTCTGTCTTTGCCTGTAGTGAATTGTACTTATTTCCCACATTTGCTGTTACCAATATGGATGTGTGTGGTTTGTACTGGGAAAACCAATGGTAACTTCAGCTGAGTGAGGAGATGCAAATTTCCTCATGAAGAAAAAGCACTGCTTCAGACTTCCATTTCAGCCTTGCTTTGGCCTTTCCGTTCTCTTCCAGGAAGAGAGTCTTTATTTTGCCTGTGGATGCTCACATCCTATTTCTTTTCTAGGCCTGGAGGTGGTAATCAGAAATTTGCACTTTCTTTTGCAATTTAGGGCTGTCCAGTGGGAAATTTGATTTGTTGGGAGTAGCCAGAATCCTGATTTGACTGCACAGGTCAAGATGTTAATTTAACACACTAATTATTTCATTTCTTTTAAAGAAAGGGTAGTATATGTTATTAATTTCGGATACGTGTCCTTTTACCTTTGTAGTCTTAAGATTGAGCTTGTCTAGATTAAAAAATCTTGTTTGTGTTGTAGTATCAGGGCTCTTTGACAGTAATGACTTTACAATGGGAGAAAGACATGTAGGAAAGAAATATTTTAGTCAAATGTGTGATAATTCTATTGAGGATGTATTAATAATTTTGATTTCTCAGATACAGAGAATGTGTTATACATGTCCTAGATCTAGCACTACGTATGTTTAAATTCCTGAGCATGTGTCTGTTTAGCTGTATTAGCCTCAGCAACCACTGACAGTTTTTAAGTTCAATAACTTACAAATTACTGAGGCCTGTGTATCATTGAGAAGATGTAATTAATTGTAAAGGGTAGCGGGGCGTTAGACATTGGACTTTAAAGCTACACTGTTGCATGTATCTGCATGCTTGTTCTGTTTCCTTTTTTCTCCCCCTTCACTTAACTTCAGCTAGCACATAGATTTAAATTATTTTGATTTTTAATGGTGACTTTTTGAGGAAGGTATTACTTCCAGGACTAATGTAATGCACCATCTGTGAGCTTGTAATCCCAGCTTTCAAAGTGCTTAATAAAAGTAGGCTAAAGCTCTCAAAAATAAGAGTCTGGAGTAAAGCTTTTATGTCCATATTTAGACATCTTAAGTAAGGGACTTGATTTTAGAAAATTTGCTAGCTCTCCTGAATACTGCATGACTTGAGGCACTGCTAGAGAGAATCTTGAACCTGGTCCCCGGTGTGAATAGTTTGGGAGAGGTTTTTTTAAAATAAGTTATGGGTTGCTAAGCTCACTTTGGATTGTGTGGGAGATCCATAAGTGGGGTAAGCAGAAGCACCTGACTTTAAATATGGACGGCCATATTCATACTCTACCTGCGAGTGTTTGCATGGGAACTTTTGTGCGGTGGTCTGCACCCTCAAACCCAGCACTGTATTCAAGATGCATTTGTGTCTACAGGCATGCTTGTGTTGGGTTCAGTAGAGATCACCAGTAGTTGGAGAAAACAGCAGCATGGGCAGTAAACTCTGTTCCATGTCCCCTGTGTGTTCGTCTAGGCCACTTCATCCTTGTGTGTGCAGTCCGAGGTGTCTGGATGGAAAAACTGCCGCAGGTCTGCATATGCACGCGGAGGTTCGAGCTCTGCTTGCAGCCTTGCTGCACCTTTTGAAAGCGTTTGAGGTGTTCTATATGTCCGTGGCTCATTCCAGTCTCTCAGTAAGTGCTGACAAATTGAAAAGAAAAAAAGAAAGTTATGCTGGCATGCAACCTGCATTGCCTTTTCCTGCCTTTTCATTCTTTTTTTGAACTATTATTCCATACCCATGGTGCTCTCCATTATCGTCATCGTTAGAAGCTGGGTTTTCCTTGGAGAGGCAGAGTGAAGAAGTCTAGAGATCCTGCTGTCACTTCTTAGCTTTTTGCATCATAACTGGTCTTTGGGATAGAAGTGAACAAAAGTGGTTGATTCTGTTACATCCTGGCAACCTTGAGTACCTTGAGCAGTCTTCTGGCTGAGTGGTGATCACTGTCTAGCCACGTAAACTTTCTACAGCTGGTGTTTCCCCCACGTGTAAATTGTTTGACTGCCTTTTTTTCTTGACTGCTATGAAGGTGGTAGTGGGATCAGTCCATAAATGTGTCCGGCTCTTGCATTTGCTATTTTTGCTATTGTCAGGACAAGCCTGAAGGCGTTCAGAGTGATCTTTCCCTCAACCTACCTTGAGGTGAGATGCTTCTCCGCTAGTCAGTTTCTTTTTCCTGAACAGGATGACTGGTGATCTAACAAAGCAGCTGAGGTGTCAGTTTGCAAAACGAGTGGGTAATAGTTCTACAGTAAGCTTTAAACTTTTTATTGCTTGACTGGGAGTAGGGAGTGGTGTTTTAGTGGGGGCTGGAATGTTAGCCAAGCCCCCAGAGAAGGACTGTGAAATTCTTAGCTCAGGGATCCAGAGTGCAACATGGGTTAACTGAAAGACAGTCATTTCCTGATGCTGAATTAAAGCTTGGACACAGTGTGTTATGTGGTGTTTGACTAAACAACAGTGTTGCAGACCAAAAGCAGGAGGCTGAAGCTGTTGAAATGAGTCCTCTTTGAGAAGAATTCGAAGGTGAATTTGTAATTTTTAAGGGGGAGTTTCAGCAAAGGCATGGTTGTGTTCAACTGAGTCATTCTGTGGACCTGGCCCTGGTTCTTCAAAATAACTGTCAACTTCAGCTAGAGCACAGAAATTATTTTTAAAGTATACCTTACACTTTTTCTGTATATGGTAGACTATATATAGCTTTCTACCTGTTTAGAGATCTGAGGTTAGTGTGTTTGCCCAACCTTAATTTTACTAGATAGTGTGAAAAGGTATTCTTGTTTGAGTTTTTTAATATAATTTTAATAATTTTGTTTAAAAGGTAATTTGGATAAATGAACATGAAGTTGGTAAGAAGGTACTAGATACTTATTTCTTACTTGAACCGACATAGTCGTGCTTAGTTATGTATTGATACTTCATATGACCATAATGCAGCTGAATGCTTGGATCTTGATGCTGAATTGCTTGCTGTATTTAGTAGCAACAAATGCAGATGTACGTGTAGACTGCTCTGACAACATCAGTTGCCTCTGTAGTTATAAAATAAATCTTACTGTCATGCCTTTTTTCCATTTACTATGTCACATGCTTTACGTGACACGCTTATTTTGAAGGATGCACAGACATGTAATTACAGGTTCCCCCTTCCTGATATTAATTAATGCATAGGAGTTATTCACTAGAAGAACAATTGAGTAGTGTGTGCGTGTGTTTCTGAACGCAAAGTGTTTCAGGACAGAGGATCCCAAAGCTCATCTTAATGTGTTGTGGACTACCAATAAGGAACACTTGTAATAATCTTTTCACCTTCAGTTGTTGAAAGTTGCTGGTTTTTGCAGCACTGTGAAAGTGTTTTAGATGTTTTTAATGTGTTAAACTTTGGCATCTCTCTGAAGTTTGGCATGCAGTGAGGTTTTGTCTAGCACCAACAACAATTACTGACTCTTTAAAAAAGAAATTTGGCATCAAACACCAGAATTCTTTTTTCATCAGCGACCTAGTTATTGCTTTAATTGTTGCTCTTCTAGCACTTATTTATGCCTCTGTAAGACCGAGATCGAGGCATGGACAGAATGTGGCTTGGTGGATGGCTCTTTTTCACTGCAATCTTGATGCATTTATTTTCCTAAACCTGCCCCCGCCTTTTTTCCTCCCCCTTTTGTCCTCACACATACTTCAGTCTCTGCCAAACCCTTTCCCATCACTGTTTGAGGAGAGCATTGCAACACACTTTCCCTGCATTTGGGATACACACATTTTTCAGCTTAGCTCAGACTTCCCTGAGGCCTGAGCTGCTCTTATCTCCCTGAGACTCCAAACTGATAAGCCAGTTTAATTGGAGTGGGGTGTGGTGGTTGTTTAAAGTTCATTACACTGAAATCTAGTGACATAGAATGGAAAATGAAATGAGAATGAATTATAGTAGACAGTAGGTACATCTGTCCTTGGTCAGATGCCCCGCACCTGTACCGTTGAATAGCTCATGTCCCTGCGTGAAAACATCTTCCGCAGTGGAAGCTGATCTTATTGTCATTCTGACCTTTGACCTAAAAGCCTACAAGGCTTTTGTATGCTTCAGCTCAAAGTGACTTTATAAGACACACTTATTTCTCTTTGTGTATTCAGCAAGCTTGTTCTCAAAAAATACGGGAGAAGCTGATAGCCCTTCTGCTTCGTGTCGTCACTGGACGGTTGTCAGTTCCCAAATCTGGTTCTTCTGATAGGAATTTCTCAATGGAGATTTACTTGTGGCGGTCTGTGTTACGTTTTTCCCCTTGTTAAGGGTGTTGTTGAAACATACAGCTTGTTTGTCGTGGTTGTCCCCTATACCAACAACAGCAAACAGTCAGCTAATTATTGATATCATTAATTTTTCATCTAGGAGGCTGCAGGCCATCTGTTGATTTGCATAAAATAGCAGCAGAGTCACTGTGTATCTATTTCACTACCTTTGGAGGGAATGAAATAGATAGAAAATACGTCCAATGTAATACATTTTGGACAAGGAAATGACCACTGAATTTTCTCAGTAAACGCATTTGACTTGTTCTGCAGAAGAATAACCTCACATTTGAAGCCTTTGAGTGGAACTCTGTGCCAATGCACAGTTTGGTTAGGTCCTGCGAGATCAAGGTAGCTACACTACCTTGTACCAAATGGTGCAGAGTTGGGTTCGCTATTTACAGGCTTACTGTACAGTGTTTGTAAGAGGGCTGTTTTTTCGCTTTGTTCATGTAGGTGCCACTGAACTGCTGCTTCTAGCCCGCCGGACAGATTTGAGGCGAATTTCCTTGGACACTCCAGATTTTACAGACATTGTTTTGCCACTGGAGGACATCCGTCATGCCATTGCCATTGACTTTGATCCTCTGGAAGGATACATCTATTGGACTGATGATGAAGTTAGGGCCATCCGCCGCTCATTCATCGATGGGTCAGGTAGTCAGTTTGTTGTCACAGCACAGATCGCACATCCTGATGGCATTGCTGTGGACTGGATTGCCCGAAATCTGTATTGGACTGACACGGGCACTGACCGTATTGAAGTTACAAGGCTTAATGGGACCATGAGAAAAATATTGATATCAGAAGACCTGGAAGAACCCAGAGCTATTGTGCTGGATCCCATGGTTGGGTGAGCAGCTGTTCATGAGCATTTTTTAAATATTAGTCACGTAAATGAGATACCTCTGTCTACCTGTATGCAGATGTGAACTGTCTACCTGTATGCAGATGCAATGATAAACTTCTGAGTCTTCAAAATGAAAACATGGATATTCTTTGACAGTTACGTCTCTGAGGCACAGGGACTGCTGCTTCACTTTGCCTGGCTGGTGATCTCATATGTCTTCAGGGTTGGTTTGTTGTAGCTAATAGCACTGGTTATGTTGTCATGCTGAGCAGACTGATACAGCAGTTTTGTGTAAAGGCCAGCATGGTTTACATGTCAATGCTTTCTGAATGGCTTGGGCATCCTTACTTAGGTAAGGAAATATATTTCACTTAGAAACATACTTTTCTGTGTGCAGTGTGGTTTTGGGGAACAGTAGTCCAGAAGAAGCTATGTGAATATTGAAAGTTGGGATTAATGAGAGTTCTTAAAATTTTTGTTTCTTTTGCAGGTACATGTACTGGACTGACTGGGGGGAAATCCCAAAGATCGAGAGGGCAGCATTAGATGGCTCAGACAGAATTGTGCTGGTGAATACCTCGCTTGGCTGGCCAAATGGACTGGCATTGGATTATGCAGAAAGCAAAATATACTGGGGAGATGCCAAAACGGACAAAATAGAGGTTTGTAACTGTACCTGCATTTTTAATTCCATGGATTTACAGCATGTAGTTATTCTGCTTTTCCCAGTGTTTAAATTCTGATATAGCCCAAAAGGGCAATGGGATAATGGTTGATTTGTGCTTTAAGAAGCAGTTCAATTTCTTCTCTGTCTTTGGGCAAGTTACTTCCTATTCTTCCTTCATTTTTCTGTGTGTGTAAAATGGAAATTATATCCATGTAGTAGTTCTCTCTTTTTAGGAATGTATGAAAAGGATTTGTTAAATAAGTCAATTCTTAGATCATCAGGGGAAAAAAGCTTTTTACTGGGAGCAGTGTTTGTAGGTTAAAAAAAATTATCTGTCATTCTTTCCGCTGCTCAGCTTAGATGCTAGTAGAACATATCTTAAAGAAATAGATCTAATTTCACAGATAACTATTTGTAATTTTACAAATCCTCTTTGCTTTGCATCTCCCTTGTTTTAGTAGGCTTCCAGCGAGGGAATAGTTTCTCCTTTCTTTCCGGTATGTTCTGCTGCAACTTTTAATTGCAAACAAAAATGCCATTTTTCTTCTCTCCCACATTGCAAATCTTGTGTGTTTCTTGTTATATAAGATGTATGGAACAAATTTGTCATTTATTATCTCTCTGTAAGTCATTGAGAAAATAGTAGTGTTTAGTATTTGTTCAGTTTACTGTCAAAATGCAGAAGCTTATCTGGAAGCAGGAGACTTGGCTACTACCTAGTGCATAATAGCACCATCTACCTTCGCTATATCCTGGTAGATTTACCTTTCTTTTGATGAATTGTAGCTTTCCTTAGTGAATCCTTACCGTTGCAAATAATTTTCAGCATTTAGCATATTGGGCACAATATTTTCTCTAGCCTTATGAAATTGTTTTGTTTATTTATAACTTCAGATAAGTCACAGAATCACAGAATGTCAGAGAT